ATGCAAAAAGTAAAGATGCAAATAAAGTAGATGGAAAGCAAATATGATAAGAGATAGACCCAGGGGCCATAGGTTTCACTAGAGGCTTCTCTCAAGATAGCATAAGTATTACGGTGGGTAAACAAATTACTGTCGAGCAATTGATAGAAAAGCGCATAGTTATGAGATTATCTAGGCATGATCATGTATATAGGCATCACATCCATAACAAGTAGACCAACTCCTGCCTGCATCTACTACTATTACTTCACACATCGACCGCTATCCAACATGCATCTAGAGTATTAAGTTCATAAGAACAGAGCAACGCATTAAGCAAGATGACATGATGTAGAGGGATAAACACATGCAATATGATATAAACCCCATCTTGTTATCCTCGATGGCAACAATACAATGCGTGTCTTTCAACCCTTTCTGTCACTGGGTAAGAACACCGCAAGATTGAACCCAAAGCTAAGCACTTCTCCCATGGGAAGAAAGATCAATCTAGTAGGCCAAACCAAACTGATAATTCGAATAGACTTACAAAGATAACTCAATCATACATAAAAGAATTCAGAGAAGATTCAAATATTATTCATAGATAAACTTGATCATAAACCCACAATTCATCGGATCTCGACAAACACACCGCAAAAAGAGTTTACATCGAATAGATCTCCACAAGAGAGGGGGAGAACATTGTATTGAGATCCAAAAAGAGAGAAGAAGCCATCTAGCTAATAACTATGGACCCATAGGTCTGTGGTAAACTACTCACAACTCATCGGAGGGGCAAGGATGTTGATGTAGAGGCCTTCCGTGGTTGCTTTCCCCTCCGGCAGATTGTCGGCAAGGGCTCCAAGATGGGATCTCGCGGATACAGAAGGTTACGTGGGTGGAAATTGTGTTTCGTGGTGCTCCTAGATGTTTTCAGGGTATGTAGGTATATATAGGAGGAAGAAGTACGTCGGTGGACGCCCGAGGGGCCCACGAGACAGGGGGTGCGCCCTATGGGGGGGGGGCTCCTATCTCGTGGGGCCCTTGAAGCTTTCTTGACTTGCACTCCAGGCTCTCTGGATCAGATTTGTTCCAAAAATAACGCTCCCGAAGGTTTCATTCCGTTTGGACTCCGTTTGATATTCCTTTTCTTCGAAATACCGAAATAGGCAAAAAAACAGCAATATGGGTTGGGCCTCCGGTTAGTAGGTTAGTCCCAAAAATGATATAAATGTGTAAAATAAACCCCATAAACATCCAAAAGGGGTAATATAATAGCATGGAACAATAAAAAATTATAGATACGTTGGTGACGTATCAGACGACACCTCCATCAAGGTGACTGACACAGATTATTATTCCCCAATTTTCAGTTCATGTCTGTTCTTGCTTCAGAGGAAGAGGGCCGTATATTTGTAAAATGTGTAGAGGTTTCAGAGCTTCCACTACTAGGAAAATGCTTATAGATAGAAGTTTACCAGTAGCGTTTGTTTATGAGCCCACACTACTAGTAGTTAGTAGTAGCGCTGCCTATAAAGAGCGCTACTGGTAACTGTTAGCAGCAGCGCCTGTTATCTAGCCCCACGCTACTGCTAAGTGTAAAACACCACACCCCCCTGATCAATAAATGTTAGCAGCGCTTTTCGCCCAACCAGCGCTACAGCTAGTGGGCTTAGTAGTAGCGCTGGCCCTTTGCCCGCGCTGCTGTTAAGCCCACTACCTCCCCCCGCGCGCCCTCGGCCCGGCCTCATCTCTCACTGACACCCCGCACTACTCCCTCATCCCCCGGCGCGCCGCCATCGACCCCCGGACACTGCCGTCCCCCGCGCCGGCCCTCCTCCCTGCGTCGGCCGCCCTCGCCCGCGCTGGCCCTCCTCCCCGTTGGCCGCCCAGCTCCCCCGCGCCGGCCCTCCTCCCTGCCGGCCGCCCAGCTCCCCCGCGCTGGCCTCCTTCTCCGCCCACCTCCCCGGCCCCCGCGCCGGCCCTCCTCCACCGATAGGTACTCCTTCCTCCTTCCTCCTCCTCCCTCCCTCCCTAGTTATAGTTATTAGAGTACTTATTTTGAATCCTATGTAGTTGAAAAAATGTAGGTTATTGGAGTAGTTAATTCGTATGAACCCTTGTAATTCGTATGAACCCTAGGTTTTTAAATTTAGCTAGGTTTTAAAGTTAGGACAAAAATTCAGCTAGGTTTTTAATTAGGTGTAGTTAATAGAATTTAGGTGTTTTAAGTGTATTTAAAAGAGTTTTAGGTGTTTTAGTTGTTTTAGGTGTAGTTAACAGAATTTTAGGTGTTTTAGTTGTTTTAGGTGTAGTTAACAGAATTCTAGGTATTTTTTTAGTTAAAGCAATTGTTGTTTTTTTAGTTAAAGCAAATTTTCCTGTTATATGCAAATTTGCAGTGGAAATGTTATGTTTTGAACATGTCACATTTCGGACATGTCATATTTTTCTGAGTGGCCTATGTTTTGCCAGAAATGTCAATTCGTTTATGTTCTAGCAAATTTTAGGCGCCCGATATGTCCTGTTTTTAGCAAAGGTCATGCCAAATTTTGCTAAGTGTTTATTAATTTTGTTTTCATAATTAAGCATTTTGTTCTCGACGTCGATGATGCCTATCCCGCATCCTCGGCGTCGACTCGGCGGAGGACTCTTGGTTGAGCCGAGGGGCCATGTCCGGGATTGGGCTCCGCGGGCTGGTACTGGGTTGTGCTACCTTCTGGTGAGCGCAGCTTAGTGAGGAGCCAGTCCGTCGTTGACCCGGAGCTTCTTTGGTGGCGGTCATGTGGGCCTGCATCGGTGGAGAGGCTTGAGTCCCCCACGCAGGTGGTGCAACACCGTGTCACGGAGGAGAACGCGCACGTCCACCACTACTTGGTTGTGTTGGCGAACGGCCGGTTCTCCAATACCTAGCAGTTTCTTTGGGGATCTCATCGGAGCTATGATCCGGTGATGGTTCCTTCTCTTTGGGTGTCCACCGCGGCACACTGAACCTAGAGGAGCTATTATTCGAGATGTATTAGTGATATTATGTGATGATCTTTGCTACAAACTATTATATATGTATTCGATGATGGCTTATTAATTACCTATTAGTTATTTGCTTATTGAATGCAAAAGATGAGCGTGGTTTGTGCTACAAACTACTATATATGTATTCATGATGGATTATATGATGATCTTTGCTACAAACTACTACAAACTACAAATTTTAGGTGTTTTAGTTGTTACATGATGATCTTTGCTACAAACTACTATATATGTATTCGATGATGGATTATTAATTACCTATTAGGAAATGTCTGACGACGAAAGGGAATTCGCTATGTGCGTTTACTGCGAAGATAAGCGCGGTATGTGCGACAGGCCTCACCTGGTAGAAGGTCGGCACTTCAGCATCAAGCTCCAAGAGACCTTCGATGTTGATACGGTACGCGACGATGACAAGTGTTTTTTGTTATTTTTACACGACTTCTCTGCTTCCTCAACGTGTAATTTCCATCTTTTACAATTCGACTAGCTTATCCCATGCCATGCAAGACGCTATGTCTTGGAGAAGATGGGGTTTGAAGATCATGAAAGCACGGAGACAAAGATAATTCAACTAAGGACCCATCATGGTTATGATTTTGCTGTAAAACTATACAATTCTGTGAACTCATCCAATTTTGGTTGCCCGAATTGGGAAGCCCTTTCCAAGGCGTATGATTTTCATGAGGGTATGCTTCTCACCTTCGATCTTGGTGATCCTGACATCGACGGAAATTATATGACCATTTGGGTCCTTGTTGACACGCTTCCAGTTCTACCGCTGTGTGAGTTTCTTAAACATATTTACTAAGTAATTTATATTGTTTATTTCAAAATATTTGACAGCTTATTTCCATTGACAGCTTATTTTCATTCTTTAAAAAATGTACAGGAGATGGTAGACAGAACCTACTACTACAATGATGAAGCACAATTAACTTATAAGGAGAAAGATGGTCTTATCACATTTTTTACTGATCTTGAGAATTACAATAGCTATTATCGAATTCCTCAAAATTATGGTCCATATGTGCCACTAGTGCATGCGGTGTGATATGGTAACATCAATGGAGATATCATGGTAAGATTTTGTACTATTACGACATCAGTGCATCTTTTGCATAAATTTTTCTAAAACTAAACTACATTGCTAACTATAAAGTTATTACTATGTTTTGAACAGAAAATCCCGATGGATTGTGTGCCTCATCTGATGTTGCCAAGAGGTCGCGTTGATGTTATGAGCTTACGGCCACCACGGCCAGGTCAGCCACAGTATCCACATCACTGCTGTCCATACCGGATTTCTAAAAGCGAGGAAGCCATGATAATAAATGATTGGAAAAAATGTTTCAACCATCGTAGAGAGCTACTTGGAAGCAACATTGTGCGTAGGCCAAGACTTGGAGACAGGATGATCTCCGTTCTTCATTATGGAGAGTTCAGTTTCCTTAATGAAGAGTTAATGCCTATCTTGTTTTATGATATTTTACCTAAGAGAGGGTAGAGTAGGTCCTATGAGAGGAGTAGGTCCTAGGTAGAATGTGTTATTATGTGCTATAATGTGTTAGAGTTGATGAGGAGGATGAGGAGTTGTGATTATGACTAGTGACCAACTTGTTATATATATGATGTCTCATTGACGAACATTGTTTGGTGGTGATAACTAGTGGTAATGAATATAATATTTAAACAGACTAGTTCATGATGAGTTGTTATTGTATAAAGGATATATCTGTTTAAACATGTACAGCGCCAAAATATTAAAAAAAAGACATAAATGTTAGCAGTAGTGCTGGCCTAAAAACGCGCTGCTAGTACTTGAACTTACCAGTAGCGCTGGTCTAGAAACGTGCTACTGCTACAAAATAGCTGTAGGGCCGTAGCAGTAGCGCTGGTGCCCGCGCTACTGGTAGTAAAAAAATAGTGCTACTGGTAAGTTTTTCTCTAGTAGTGTTCATATGTTCTTGCTTCTGTTACTGATGCAGGGACACTATTTGCTAGGATGCGCGCTGCTCTTGAAGGGGGACTGCGCTCTCACCATCAAGGAATTCGACAAGGTCTGTCGTTCATGAATCCTCTTATACGTTCTGAACCAGTCTCTGTATCTGCAAATACAACTGTAGTCTTACATGTAGTATCTAATGCCCTGCTTCCCTGTTTATTTGTGAAGCTTATCTTTTTCCTCCGCATGTAGCCCTTCTTGTCCTCCCTTTTTCTCATTCTTCTGAACTTCTCGACAACCCGTGTGTGTGAGTTGTAGTCTAGCACATCAATTGGGAGATGCTAGCTGCATGTTCCTGAATGTCTGTATAGGTGGAATTGAACTAAATCCATTGACCTTCACTTTGACATCAGTAATTATCATCAGATGAAATGGTTTCACTATTAGTTATCATCATAAAGATGGTGATAACCGAGCTCTTCTTTGATTACCTATGGGTTTAAATGACAAGTTTAGCTACAGTTCATCAGTGAACTCAGCTGATTATGTAATTTTGATGGTTGTGTTTACTTGACATATTGATTGGGAAACAGGCATTTGATCACTTGAAGTCCTCAAATTCAAGGGACAAAATGGCAGAGGACATTTGACAGTTTCTTGCAAGGCAAAGTACCAAGACTGGGAAAAGCACTCTACTCTGCGAGTTTGGAAGATGCAAAGTTTAAGGTACACTGTGTGTTGAAATTGTTGTCGTCATTGTGCTGCAGATCAATCCTACTGCATATGTATTTAGCATTGGGGTTCAATTCGGCAAAACTTTAACAATCACGTTGGTGCCTTACATTCAAGATACTGGTTTTTCTAACACTGTTGTAACATGAACATGTAGGGAAGCACGTGAAAATGCTCTGCCACGCCTCCACGTTCTCCTTCGCCCTTAACCACTAAGCCCCTGACCCATCACACCCGCCGCGCCCTTTGCGCAAGGGCTTCCAACCGAATGTGCCGATTGCGGTCGTTCTTGAGGCTGCTAACCTACAGGTTTGTCTCCCTCCTCTGTGTGTGCTTGCATTTGTTGTGTATGCTGACAGTCCATTTCTTGCAGCTGTCGATCCCATTGCTCCCCAGTGCAGAGGATTTCCATGGCGTGGCAGCTCCAAGGCACACCTGACCTCCTCCTTTTGCTGATGTTTATCAGTTAGTGAGATTTCTGCACCTACACACTATGACGCAGATTATGTATGCCTCTTATTTATTTGGTTTGACTTAGGAATAAAATCATTTGTTATATGTATTTTAGATTTAGACCTATAGAAATGGTGTGTGATGTGACGGTGCAAAGATTTTTAGGGCTATCTTCTTTCTCCTGTTGGAAACTATGTCTCATATTTATTCTCTAAACTTTGATGGCCATATGTGATAGATATATTTATGTGTTGTGGTAGATCTACCATATGTGGTAGATAAGAGCAGCAGTTCTTGAGATTTATACAGTTACATTTGTCTTCACTTTTCTGTTGTCGCCCGTAGCATTTATCTACTATCCTGCTACTGCTTTACAGAGGAAAATTATTTGATCATTCATTTTCTTGATATTTCCTTCATATATTGATGTAGTTTGTTTGGATTTCAGCAACGTAGAAGAATGTTCGCGGGAAGATCGAACAAGAAGAGGTTGAACTCTGATTCCATCACATGTTGTTTGCTGCTTAAAATTAGTCAGTTGTGTGTTGTCTTGGTCATGGTCAATATTTATGTCCATGAGGTTTTGAGTAGGCCCAGATTGCTTTTATAACTCAGTTCAAATTTCCCTGTGCTATACGACTATTCAATTGGATTATCTTAGGACTATGAAGGTTGAGGATATGCCATGCATCCTGTAGGTTGTAGGTGTAATTTTTGTGATGATGTCGTTATGCACGCCTTTTAAATGCTACACATGTGCTTCCCTATTAGATCATATATTTCCGAGAATATCTTTTAAGTATGGTTGTTGCTTCGTCTCATCTGCTGTTTAGAGTTCTTTCCTTTGATTCTTATCAATGGACAAAATTACTACTTTGTTAGGCTTTCGTGTATCAGAAGAATTAATGGTTGCACTACAAAAAAATACACTTTCGTGATGATACGTAGGTCGCGTTTTTTGTCATGCATGTACATCCATGACAAATTTATGACAGAATCAAGATAGTCATACCTGTGCTGTCGTAGAAGTGTTCCATGACATTACCAAAATTATCATCACGTAAGTGTCCGCTTCCATGACGATAAATCGCGCGTCACAGAAGTGCTTTCGTCAAGGGTGACCGACACGTGGCATCCACCATAACGGAACGCCGTTAAGCTATCGGGTCGGGTTTTGGATCCGATAACCCGTTAACATCCCCGACCAATGGGGATTTTCCACATGTAAAATCATCATTGGCTGGAGGAAACACGTGTCGTCTCACCTTTGGGACAGATGTCATCCACTCATTGGACGGAAGACGCCTATGGTACGTCGACACGTGGCACGGCCCAACAGAGGCCCATTCCTGTGAAAAGGCCGGCCTAGTAAAAATTAGCAGGCAAGCCCATATAAGGCCTACTTGTGTTAGGTCCATTTAAGCCCACGACCCATACGAGATGAGCCAATTCGGCCCGTCAACGGCCCGTTAAAGATTTGACACCATTGCAGCCCATCGTTAATTCGAGCCCGTTAACAGCTCGCTATATATCTGGGCTCAATATCGGCCTGATGAGATTTTGGGCTGTTAACGGCCCGTTTAATGGATGGGCCAATTTTCAGGATGTAAATATTTCGGCCTTTCAGCGACCCATTTAAATGTTGGGCTAGTTTCCGGCCCGGTGTGTCTTTCGGCCTGTTGACGGCCCATAAATCTGATGGGCCATTTGTTGTCGGACCTGGGTTTCGGCCTTTTAGCGGCCCATTTAAGTGTTGGGCCAATTTTCTGGCCTAGTGTCACTTTTAGCCTATTGACGGACCATAAATTAGTTGGGCCATTTTTAGTCGGACCTGAGTTTTGGCCTTTTAGCGACCCATTTAAGTGTTGGGCCAATTCCCGGCCCTGTGTGACTTTTGGCCTGTTAACGGACCATAAATGAGTTGGGCCATTTGTAGTCGGGCCTTAGTTTTGGCCTTTTAATGGCCCATGCCCTTCATGGTCCAATACCAGCCCGGTTTCTCTTTCGGCCTGCTAAAGGCCCACAAACACAGTTGGGCCATTTACAATACGACCTGACTTTCGGCCTCTTAGCGGCCCATGGTCTTCATGGTCCAGTACAAGCCCGCTGTCTCTTTCGGCTTGCTAAAGGCCTACAGTATAGTTGGGCCATATGTAGCCCAAACTTAGTAACGACTTGTTAATGGCCTGTGAAATAAGCTGGGGCCACCTGTTGCCCGCTTCAATGTCGGCCTGTTAACGACCCGGGAGGTAAGAGGGTCGACCATTAACTTTCGACCTAGTAACGGCCCATTAAATGTAATGAGCCCACTAAAGTTCGTACATGTCTTTAGGCTAAATTAGATAATTTGAGCCCATTACGACGAGCAATTATGCACAGGACCAAAAACGATCATGCAAAGGTACGGCATACAGGGAATAACGTTGCACATCCAGCATATATTACAGGAAATTACATCCACTGGGCAATCAAAGATTGATGCCAGTGCAAATAAATGAGCAGAATCTAACCATCTACAATGTCACAATCTGCAACCTCAGCACAGATGACGCCCATAAGCATGTGGGCAAGTTCTTTCTACTTTGCTACACTGTCTCTAAAAACATTGATCAGTTGTTGTGTCACACGACTCTGCACCTCTGATTCATCCACCATTTACATCATTGCTTTAGCCATTAATTGGTTCACAAACATACATTTATTCCATTGCATTCGAGACAGAGGATACTGAACAGATTCAGATGGCGATTTTGGCAGGCTTGTATTATTGATAGTGGAGAGTGTCTCGGCCACTGCATCATAACATAAATTAGGACGGGAACCAAATAGATTAATCATGAGTTATTGCCATATTACCTGGCCTAGATTTACTGGAAAGAAACAATGGGGTTGCCTTGCTGTTTTCAGAGTTTGTCTTCTTATCTTCAGCAGCCTGCACAAAATTAACACACTAGCATTGCTATCATTGGCCAAGTCAGATAATAGGAAAGCAACATTGACACAACGAACGTTTGGGCAAGTAGCCTACACCAAATTAACACAATACGACACAACTATCATCAGCCAGGTAAGGTAGTACGAAAGCAACATTGACACAATGAATGAATGGGCAACCAGAGAAGCACTACAATTCAGTAATGTGCGTGATATGAGATAGTGCATTCATGCAGCTCAGTATGCAAAACTACCAGGCAGTTTTCCTTACAAAAATCAACATTGGCGCCTTTAACATTTTGCTACAACTAATTCTAGATCAGATAAAGGTTAGATTCACGCCAATTAACAAAATACATGTTGATGTAAAAATATAGTGATATACAACATGTACTTACATCAGCATTGGAGCACAGAGAATTCCCGCAAGATATTTTCCTCGAATACGATCCCAATGGAGGAAGTCTTCTATCGTTTAACCTTATTTTCTAAAAGAGAGATGGGTAAGAAACATGTAGAAAATACGATTAGAATGCTATAAAATTTCATGATGTGAGGATACGCACACGCTTCTTAGAATGGAGTTGACATTCTTTTGCTGGACTGGAGCGGACTAGTTCTTTGGCCACTGGAATCTGCTTATTATCAGTGGGAGTTGGGTTTCTCTGTGCTGGAGAAGTATCTATGAAAAATGGAGTTAGTTTATTATCTCCCGGCGTTTGGATCTTTTGCAAAGACTTGGTTTGTAACCCTTCAGATTCTAACAGAGCCGTCTTCCCCTTGCATGCCTTATATAGAAGACTGGTGATTCAGTTATAAAACATGCTACAGTAGAGATGGAATAGGTACTCAAGAATAGAAACGCATGACATATTGACATGTATTCCCTCCATCCGGAAATAAATGGACGGTGTCTAGGCGTATTTCAGTTCTAGATACATCCAGTTTTATCTATTTCTGCGACATTTAATCCGGACGGAGGGAGTATGATGTAAGAGATAGGGATACGACAGGACAACACAGTAAAAAAACACTAAAAAACCCACTGCAGAACCAAAGTATTCAAACCCACTGATATGAGATAGTACACTCATGCAGCTCAGGATGCAAAACTACCAGGCAGTTTTCCTTACAAAAATCAACATTGTGGCCTTTAATCATACATTTTGCTACAACTAAATTTGGATCAGATAAAGGTTGGATTCACGCGATTAACAAAATACATGCTGATGTAAAAAATATAGTGATATACAACAGGTACTTACATCTACATTGGAGCATAGAGAATTTCTGCAAGAATCTTTCCTCATAAACGATACCATTGCAGAAATTCTTCTATCTGTTAAGCTTATTTTCTAAAAGAGAGATGGGTAAGAAACATGTAGAAAATATGATCAGCATGCTATAAAATTTCATGATGCAAGGATACACACACGCTTCTTAGAATTGAGTTGACATATTTTTGCTCGACTGGAGCGGACTAGTTCTTTGGCCACTGGAATCTGCTTATTATCAGTAGGAGTTGGGTTTCTCTGTGCTGGAGCAGTATCTATAAAAACTGGAGTTGGTTTATTATCTCCTGGCGTTTGGATCTTTTGCAAAGGCCTTGTTTGTAACCCTTCGGATTCTAACATAGTCGTCTTCCCCTTGCATGCCTTGTATAGAAGAATGGTGCTTTAATTATAAAACATGCGACACCAGAGAGATGGAATAGGTACTGAAGAATAGAAAGGCATGACATATTGACATGTATTCCCTCCAT